CATAAAAGAATAGAGATAATGGGATAATTCAAAAAATGATATGTTAAGTATACATCTAAGATTACAGGAAAGTGTTTTTATCCAAAATGCCCGTCTCATTTTTTCCACAGGGTGTTTTGAATTTTTTGCAAAAAACAACATTTTGATTTACCCCGGTATAAAACCACCTAACCGAAGAATATAAGTCATTAAAGTAATAAAAAATAATGCCAATAAATTTTTCTTTACATTGATTACAGAAGTTTGATTAAAGTATGCATCAAACTTCTGTAATTTTAGGATATTCTAGATGAAGGTAAAACAGGATCTTCTACGTCACTGCTCTCCCTTTCTTCTTCCTGTATAATACCTACGGCAGCAACCGCCACCAAGAAACACAAAGTGGATTTCATATATCAAATTAAGAAAGTTGACTGGCTCAGTTTTATTGCTGCCACCGCGCCATAACGCTGATGATGTGGCGAGGAACGAAAATACAGAAACAGTTGTTGGAAACTTAGTCATTTCGGCCACTTAAGAGTCGTCATGTTTCTATATACTTTAACGTTTCTTTATTTTTTTCCCTTGTAATTTATAGGGAAAATATTATAAGAGGGAAGTTCTTTTTTATTAAGAGCAAAAATTGAATTTTCTGAATTAAATTATGGACTTTTTGTTTGAAATAAAGTTCAAAAGAATATGGGGCAACTAATATTGGGATATAGACTACCAGAAATTAACAGAAGAATTAAGTTAGCATGGAGTACTTATGCAAGAAACTCAATCATATTCAAATCTAGAATACCACTTTATTTAAATAAAAGAAGAAAACATTCGACCAATATGTACTAACAGTCATGATTTATATATGCATGTGAAACCTGGACACTCAAAACGGACATTATAAGGAAACTACAGGTCGCACAACACTCACTGGAACGAAATATGCTGGAAATATCCAAGAATGACTGTAAAGAATACAGTGAATACAACAAAAGACCCAGATGAAAACCCAGAATCAAATCCTTCAATTGGCAATGAGCAGGACACCTGGCAACAAGAACGGACATTAGTTAGACCACAATAATTACAGCATGCTACCTAAGATCGAACCTGAGATGGGACCATTATATTAGGAAATTAGCAGTACCATTTGCAAGGCTTATTACTTTCCACTACATACTTACATACAGGGTGAGTCTTAAATAAGTGCAAATATTTTCAGAGTGGGAAAATCACTAGGTCCACGCAGTAGGAAAATCACCAGGTCCCAGCAGTGAGAAAATCACCAGGTCCACGGATTAGGAAAATCACTATGTCCACGCAGTGGGAAAATCACTAGTTCCCCAGGAAAATCTGGTTCCCTGCGGTGGGAAAATCACCAAGCGCTGCAGTGGGAAAATCACCAAGCCAACGCAGTGGGAAAATCACCAGGTCCCCGCAGTAGGAAAATTAGCAGGTCCACGGATTGGGAAAATAAGTAGGTCCACGTAGTAGGACAATCACCAGGACCCTGCGGTGGGAAAATCACCAGGGCTCTGCGGTGGGAAAATCACCAGACCCTACGGTGGGAAAATCACCAGGCCCTGCGGTACGAAAATCACCAGGTCTCCGCAGTAGCAAAATTACCGGGTCCACGCAGTAGGAAAATCACCAGATCCCCGCAGTAGGAAAATTACCAGGTCGTGCCGTGGGAAAATGACCAGTTCCACGCAGTAGGAAAATCACCAGGTCCCCGCTGTGGGAAAATTACGAGGTCCCTGCGGTGGGACAATCACCAGGCCCTGCGGTGGGAAAATCACCAGGCCCTGCAGTGGGAAAATCACCAAGTCCACGCAGTAGGAAAAACACCAGGTCCGCGGAGTGGGGATATCACCAGGCCCCTGCGGTGGGAAAGTCACCAGGTCCCCGCCGTAGAAGAATTACCAGGTCCACGCAGTGGAAGAATCACTTAGTCCCTGCGGTGGGAAAATCACCAGGTCTTCGAAGTGGGAAAGCCACCAGGTTCGCGCAGTGGAAAAATCAAGTCCCTGCGGTGGGAAAATCACCAGGGTGGAAAAATTACCAGGTCCACGCAGTAGGAAAATCACCAGGTCCTTGCAGTGGGAAAATCACCAGGCCCTGCGGTGGGAAAATCACCAGGATCCCGCAGTAGAAAAATTACCAGGTCCACGCAGTGGGAAAATCACCAGGTCCCTGCGGTGGGAAATTCACCAGGCCCTTCGGTGGGAAAATCACCAGGTCCTCGCAGTAGAAAAATTACCAGGTCCACTCAGTGGAAGAATCACCGAGTTCCTGAGGTGGGAAATATCACCAGGCCCTGCGGTGGGAAGATCTTCAGGCCCCCCAATGGAAAAATTACCAGGTCCACGGTGTAGGAAAATCAATAGGTCCCTGCGGTGGGAAAATTAACCGGTCCCCGCAGTGGGAAAATCACCAGATCTCCGCAGTGGGAAAGTCACCAGGTCCACGCAGTGTAAAAATCACCAAGTCCCTGCTGTGGGAAAATCACCAGGTCCTCGCAATGGAAAAATGAACAGTTCCACGCAGTAGGAAAATCAATAGGTCCCTGCGGTGGAAATCATTCTGTGGTGGAATATCACCAGGTCCCCGCAGAAGGAAAATTACCAGGTCCGCGCAGTGGGAAAATCACCAGGCCATGCGGTGGGAAAATCACCAGGTCCCCGCAATGGAAAAATTACCAGGTCCACGCAGTCGGAAAATCAATAGGTCCCTGCGGTGGGAATATCACCAGGTCCCCAGAGTAGGAAAATTACCAGGTCCACGCAGTAGGAAAATCACCAGGTCCGCGCAGTAGGAAAATTACCGGGTGCCTGCGGTGAGAAAATCACCAGGTCCCCAGAGAAGGAAAATTACCAGGTCCACGCAGTAGGAAAATCACCAGTTCCACTCAGTAGGAAAATCGCCAGGCCCTGCGGTGGGGAAAAAATAGAAAAAAGGTTAGAAATAATTATTTTTTGTTTAAATTTTGAGAACCACTGGATCTTTTTTGGGTTTTCTTTTTTCTAAAGTTAATCTATTACCTATGTTGTTTTAACTAAAAACTAAAAAAATTACCAAAATATTTTTCAAGAAATTCAAATTTCAATTTTTTTTTCGCGAAAACAACCTCATAATCGTGTTTCTGAGGTCGAAATATACTACTCCTAAAAATATTTGCACTTAATTAAGACTCACCCTGTATAACATAGGCAGACGTTTATTAGAACAGAACTACATAATAATAATTGGTCACCCTGTAGATTTAATCTAGTGTATTTTACTTGAGATGTCAGGATATTATTTAATTTCTGATCAGGCACAAATTCATTGAACTTTTATCATTATCAAATAGCAAAATCTATATAAAAGCTTAGAATTTTATCGAATTTATGAAAGACAGACAACAGAGCGTAACAAAATATATTCTGCCACACTTCACTGGGTGATTTGAACAGAAAGGGGACTAAATAGCCCTCTTTTGTAAAAGACACGTGTGTCGTGTGCGACAAGAGCTTTGATTTCTCCTATTTTTGTCAGATTTTGGATTTGGAATTCGATTCTATTGGTGACTTAATATCATACTAGAAATTACAACAATATTATGGTTGAAGTTTAATGACAATAAATCTGAAAACGTATTATGCAGGGTGAATCTTAACAAAATAATAAATATGCTTAATAAATAAGCCCAAATATTTTTAAGGGTAGTATATTTCGGCCTCAGTAACTGGTTTTTTTTTCGGGAAAAAAAAATTGAAAATTTTTTTAAAACATTTTTTGGAATTTTTTTTTTTTTTTTAATTTAAGCAAAAAAATATTTTATTTTTATTTTCAATAACTCGGTTATTTTGGAGCCCTGAAAATATTTGCACTGATTTAAGACTCGCCCTGTATATAATCTGTATTCGTTTCATATTATTCGAACGTAGTATCCTTGTATATACAAGGTGTCCCAGAAATAAGTGCAAGTATTTTAATTGGTAGTATATAGTTCAACCCCAGAAACATGCCTATGAGGTTTTTTTCGCGAAAATTTTTTTTGGAAAATTCGGAATTTTTTAAAAATATTTCCGAATTTTTTTTTAGTTTTTAGTTAAAAAACAATATGGCAATAGGTAGTAGATTAAATTTACAAGAAAGAAAATCCAGAAAAGATCCAGTGGTTCTCAAAATTTGATCAAAAAATCATTTTTTTTTGGAAATTTTGAAAGTAAAATAACTTCGTTACTTAACTTGGACTTATTTTAAAAACCATAAAGAGAAAATATGTTTCTTTTATCGAGATCTACCACCCTTAAAATACTTGCACTTATTTCTGGGACCCCTGTATATTTTTTGTAAGATTTGGTAGTATAAATAATAAAGGTGTATTTCTATTTTAAATAATTAAAATAATTTTGTAATCATAATAAAAAAAAAGTAAAAAGTAATGTTTCCGCCCGGGATCGAACCGGGGACCTTCCGCGTGTTAGGCGGATGTGATAACCACTACACCACGGAAACAATGAGTATTTTTAACCAAACTTCGCTTATCAACAGGCAGAAAGAAATAGAATTATTTTATTATTATTTATTTATTTAAATTCTAAATTATAGGTACATAATTTATAATATAACTATAAAAAATTATGATAAATAATATACATAACATATGTCATAACTGAAAACTCCAAAATATACTTAATTTTAAATATTTCTCTATATTATAATTAGATAATCAACAATATATGATGAATTCTATTGTCAATTTTATAAAAGAACTACGTAATTATGCGAATAATCTATCTTTACATTCTTTGTTTGATAAATATTTAATTTATAAATACCTTTATAAAAAATTTAAATTAAAATATATGTGGCGCTATCTAGCGAAGCTCCTTAAAACTAAAGAGAGGCGCTGATGTCTAGTTTTCTGTAGTTCACCGGATATTAGCCATCTAGTAACCAGTCGAAAATGTAGAATTCCCAAATATATTACAGTTTCCTTTTTCGTCTGTCATTTGAAAACATCTGTCACTTTCCAATCCAACGATTCCTGTGAAAACGACAGAAAGAAAATTTTTCAGTAAAGTTTTGTACACGGAGATTGTTCGTCGATAGAAAGTTTAAAAGTGCCTTTCCTTATTTTGCAATCGGCTTTTCTTTGAGGATTTACCATGGCCGACGAGATTCAAGAGAATGGACACGCAGAAAACGGAGACGTTCCCGAAATAGAGCTGATTATCAGGGTGAGTCTTTCCATACACATCGGTTTCGCAAAGTCTTGAACTGTTTGGGCGTGACTACAGTTGTATTTTTTAACCGTTTTTACCGGATTTGCAACGCTAAATACTCAATAAATCGCTGTATTTATAAAATTAGAAGTTTTTTAAGAATAAATTGGATGTTTTCCATGTTTTTTGGGACCAAAAGACACTCAACAAATGACCTTGGAAGTTCTCTAACACTTTCCAAAAATATCCTCTGTTTTGACCGCTTTATTTTGCATTTTACCTATCCAGACTGAACATTATGCATTTCTAGTTTGTTTTTTATATACAAATAGCTCGAATTCCTTGCTAAAGCGAAATGGAATTGTATTTTAGAGTTTCCAAAAAAAGTAGGTTTGGTATCTACGTAGACAGGTACTATAAAATAATTTATTAGATAAAATAGCAATTTGGAATTACTTAATACTGATATTTACGATAGTGAACGAGATTTTTTCGTGTATAGGACATAATTAGATTGATTATGTCGATTCTAAATGTTTGTGAAAGTTTTTGCCCAGTTTGCAGTTGTTTGAAAATTTTGAACATACCTAGCTATTTATTTTGTTGCAGTTCGAGGCATTAAAAATGCTGATATGTTCTTTTTTGTTTAATTAAATGCATTCCATTGATTTTATAATGGATAATAGCAATAAATTTTCTTTAAAATAAGTTAAAAATAAATGCCAGCCGATATTTGTTTAAAACATATTTAACAGAATTGATGTTAATCATTAAGTACACAATTTAATGGGTAGAACATGTTTACAGAACAATTTTTAGTAGATATACAAGTATAAACATATTATACAGGGTGTCCCAATAGTCCGTGGACATAGAACAATAATGCTACGTACTTGGGTCCTATTTACCTCTCTTACCAAAGTGCTTCGTTTGTCCTTTAGTAAACTTAAGAGTTAGTTAATTTAAACTTTCTCAAACTTTAAGATAACCAAGATACAAAGGGATAAAAAATGCAACATTTTAAAATTTGCCTAGTATTTCAGGAACTAAAAAGGCTAGGACAAATCTGTGCGTAGTATGTTGTATCCCTACTCATAAACGAGAAACCGCATAAAACACAGGAAAATGGGACACCCTGTACATGAAATAAAGTTTATTAAAATTTATGATATTTATCAAAGGGTGTCATTGGCTTAATCGTAGCACTAATTTTTCAACATTTTTAAGGAAATAATTCTTTTTTATTCTCTAATTTGGAAGGTTAATATTTTATATGATATTGTTTTCATTATTTTTTATAAACAAAATGAGACAACAATTTAAATTTTGATTTTTAAAATATATTTATTTAAAATAATTAATACAATAATCATGAATATATACAGGGTGAGTCTTAAATAAGTGCAAATATTTTAGGGATAGTATATTTCGACCCCAAAAACACATTATTGAGGTTTTTTTTTCGCAAAAAAATATTTCAAAATTTGGAACTTTTTGAAAAAAATGTTGGATTTTTTTTGTTTTAGTTAAAAAACATAATTTCTTGATAATATGGCAACAGTGGATTAAATTAACAAGAAAGAAAATTCAGAAAAGATCCAGTGGTTCTCAAAATTTAAGCAAAAAAATATTTTTTTTTGGGAATTTTCAAACTAAAATAACCCGGTTATGTTGGACTTATTTGAAAAACGGTAAGAAGAAAAAATATTTTTCTTTTATCGAGATTTACCAGCCCTGAAAATATTTGTACTTATTTAAGATTCACCCTGTATAATCTTATTCGTTATATCTGCAATTAAACTGTTGAATCAGAGGGATATAGACGATATCCAAAAAATGTCAGAAAAAAACAATTCACCTATGCATTAAAATGACAGACATGTCACTGCCACTGTCATTATCCTTTAATCCTCTTACTGGACAGACTATAAGCAAAATAAAACACTAAATCACCACAATACACCAAAACACTTTTACTTTTACACTGGACGCGCGTTTCGCTAACCATGTTAGCATCATCAGCAGATGATTATAAACTTTTTTTTTAGTTTATAATCATCTGCTGATGGTTAGCGAAACACGCGTCCAGTGTAAAAGTAAAAGTGTTTTGGTGTATTGTGGTGATTTAGTGTTTTATTTTGCTGTGTAACACCAAAGGTTCCAACCCTCAACTGTAACAGACTATAAGTCTAAATAAATAAAATTTAAATCATATTAGAACTTATAGCGTACCTACCTACCAAACTAAAATAAAATTAGTAAGTAAAATGGAACTTCAGAGAATCATCATTATGTCATAGTTAAGTGCTAAACCAAACTGTTTAATAACAAACATATATTTATTTAAATAATATAAACCGCAAACAGCCTGTATTATTATTTATTGGATCCCTCTTATGCGTTTGTTTGTATACAATGTGGCATGTGGTAATAATACGTCAGTCACTATGTAAAATTTCCAAGGATCTAAACTTTGTTTAAAATTTTGATTAATCATTTCTGTTGATTTAACTTCCATACGAGAGATTTTAAATAAAATTTGATTGGGAATCTTTAATAAATATTATTTCGTCAAAATACAGATGACAGATTAGCCTTTATAGAGTTTGAGAAGGTTTTCGACTCTATACATCCTATAAGGCAATAATAGAAGCCTTAGCGAAACAAGGTATTGACAGACACTTATTCGCTGACGACATAGTCCTAATTGCCAGTAGTAATGAAGAACCGCAAGCACAAATTAATGAACTAAATACAGCCAGCAATAAAGTGGGTCTCAAAATGAATTTAGCAAAAATTAAAGTAATGTACAACGAACTAGTGGAAAGAAAAGACATTCTAATGAACAACTAAGCCTAGACACGGACAATGGCATCATTACAGAAACAGATAAAAAAACTCTCAAGATGGAGGCAGTACATGGAGGAGCTGTTCGGAAACGAAAATAGCGACGACATAACTGCAGAAACTGGCAACATAGGGCCCACCATTACACAGGAAGAAGTGGAAGCAGCTATCAAACGTCTGAAAAACAACAAGACTTCCGGACCGGATCAGATACACGGAGAAGTTTTTAAAATGCTGGACTCGGAACAAGTTCAACTACTGACCACCCTGTTCAACAAAATTTATACAGGTGGTCCAATCCCAAACGACTGGCTGCTATCAACATTTATACCGCTTCCCAAGAAGGCAAACGTGACCAAATGCTCTGATCACAGGATAATCAGTCTGATGAGCCACGTCCTAAAAATCCTCCTTAATATCATCCAAACACATATATAGGAAGCTCGATGAAAACGTAGGTGAAACTCAGTTCGGCTTCAGAAAGGGATTGGGCACCAGAGAGGCTCTGTTTTCAATACAAGTCCCAATCCAACGAGCACGTGACGTCAACGTAGATGTCTTTGCGTGCTTCATGGACTTCGAAAAGGCCTTTGATAGGGTCCAGCATGACAAACTCATCTCGATTTTACAGGAATCAGGAATAGACGATAGAGATACAGAGATAACAGCAAAACTTTATCGTCAACAAAAGGCCGTGGTTCGAATCGAGAACGGGCTGTATATTATCGCCTCTGCCATTCAATGTGTACTCGGAACATCTATTTAGAGAGGCACTGGATAGCACAGAGGATGGGCTGGTAATAAACGGAGAAATAGTAAACAATTTGAGATATGCAGATGATACCGTTCTGTTGGCCGATACCGCTGAAGGTCTCCAAAGGCTTATAGATCGTGTGGCGAATACATGCAGCAGATACGGAATGAAGATGAACTGCGAGAAGACTCAAACGTTGATCATTAGCAAGAACTACATCAACAACTTTCAGTTCACTGCTAACAACATCGTTCTCCCAGCGGCCGAGACAGTTGCATACCTGGGCTGCACCCTGAATAAAGACTGGGACCACTCTCGCGAAATAAAACACCGAATCGAAATCGCGAGAGGGACATTTAACAAAATGCGAAATATACTATGCAACCTGCGTGTCCCGAGACCCGTGTCCCTCGCAATCAGAAGCCTGACCCAGGCTACGTGCTCTCAACCCTTCTGTATAGCTTGTGAGGCCTGTTGGGTTTAGAGGTATCAGGTAGGCTCCCGACCCTTGAGAGGAGGATGGTAGCTTGCGCATGCTGAGATTTCGTGGGTGCATCGCGTGTCAAATGAGACTGTACTACACCGCATCAACAAGGAGTTGGAGTTTCTGGTGAATGTCAAACGTAGAAACTGGAATACTTCGGACACATCATGTGGAACGAGAAATACCGCCTACTCCAACATGCTGCAGGGGAAAATAGGAAGGGCAGATCAGCGGGACGCAGACGAATATCGTGGCTGCGAAATTCACGAACATGGACCGGATTGATCGTCCACTTGCGGAGGATGGTCTCACGCAAGTGTCAGCCACCTCTCCTGTAGTTCTCTTCGGCTTGGCCCCTTGGAACTTTCATTGTTACTGTTCCCAGTGTTCGCTAGGGGTTTCCCCACAGCTTCACCGGTGATGTTTTTATTACTATTATTACCAGATCTCATCTAGTGTTCCTATGAGTCGCTAGGGACAGTCGATCCACTTCTACAGAGCCCCGCATGTAGAAGTAAGGGTAAAATACAATGGGGTGCCCCAAGGTTGAGGCTGTCCGTAGCCCCGCCCGGTATCGTTATATGTCTTGGTGCAATTCCCTGGCCACGACACTACAGTCAGGGACAAGACGATGAGTGAGATGCTTCTTAGACCAAGTCAAGTGCTAGGGGGGATTCCCCCCAGCACCTGACCAGGAGCTTCCCCACCAACGACAAGGTCTTGCATCTCCTAGGGGAAGTAATATCGACTAACGAACATGAAAAAGTATCGATACTTTAAAATATCACTAATTTTTTACAGGAAGAAGGAAAATCTACTAGAAAAACATTCATTATCTGTGGCTTTCCTGAGATCTGTCCTGTGATACATAAACCTTATCTTAAGAACAAGCATGTTTATTTTTAACAATACACGAAATTCTCGTCTTAT